GGGCAATATTATTTTTAATTGTACTTTATTTTGTTGTACTAATTTTTTTCTCTATTTTGTTAAGTTGTTTATGAAGAAAAGCTTATGGAATAAAATTATTGTTTTAAAACCAAATTAGACATATCAAACATCAGTCAAATTCAAATGAAACAAATGATAATAAATAAATAAAAGCATTTAGGAATTATCTATTTCATTTTGGGTTGATTAATTCAATTTATTAGTTATATCTAATATTCTCTAATATTCAAATAGAAGTAGAAAATCAGTTCAAATTTTAAACAATTTCTAAATTTGAAAGTAAATTAAACCATTTTCTTCATTTCAATTATAATTTCTATAAAAATAATCAATTTTATGCGACTCTCATCCCAATCAACAATATCTTTCTCCTCAGACAAGCTACCTCTCCAAAATAAGAGGGGACTTCTTAAAGGCAAAGGTCCAACGATTAGGAGGTGAAATATATTTTTAATGCATTTGTCTCAATATTCTTTTACTCTTTTGTATTGAAGGGGCGTCAACAATAAATTAGTAAATAAGAATTTGACCAAGTTAAGCTGGCTTTATCATTACCTTCAAACTAATTGTTAGGAGAAGAGGAAGTTAGATCTCTCATTTCCTCCATTTTCTGAGGGACAATGTAATTTATATGATCCACCGGTGAAATGTCATATTATTTTCTTGCAGTTGTGACCACCTCTTAGATACAATTATAATTATTCATCTTTAGGTTATATTTTTTAGCATCTCTAATATAATTTCAAAATCATAAAGAAGCTTAAGTGGTTTTGACTTTTGAAGAGTAAGGCTTCGTTTATAACAGTTTTTTTTTATGCTTTCTAAAGTAATTTTCTAGAACAAAAAGTTCTAGCAAAAAAGTTTTTGAACTAGAAACATCTGTACTAGAAAACAGTTTTAGAAAACAGTAAGAAAGTAATCCTAAACAAAACCTAAATCATTAATATAGCTTTGTCTTGTGGTCATATGAACCATATATGAATAAGAACATGCATGTCATGAGATGCCTTATTCTTGACTACAAATTTTTGGGACTCGTTGGCATTTTAACTTTGAAATATCATGTTGTTTTGTATCCTTTCTTGATAATATAAATGAGAGAAAAGAAAGTATCATCGTGAGCATAATAGAGCATTTTTAGAGTCTATAATGTACTTTTTATTGTTGTTTAAAAAAGTTGATGGGCTTCTGTTGATCGCATAGGAGGTAAGGTTTTTTTCTTTTTATATCATAAATTAAAACTAATAAAGGAAGTATGATAAAAGATAAGATAAAAAAGGGAAGTCAATACCTTATGATGAAGAATCGATAGAGATGGATGAGAGAGAGAGAGAGAGAGAGAGAGAGAGAGAGAGAGAGAGAGAGAGAGAGAACCATAAAGAAGCCTGTGAGCAAGGAGAAGAGCTTAATGGTGATTGAGTGAAGACTTGATGTATAGTTGAGGTGGTGATCACAAACTTAATTAATATTCTAATTAGCATGTTCATGGTTATGATATTTGTTTGGATGATGATTTTTTTCTTGATTATGAATATAATAAACAAACATGTAAAATCAATATATTTCATCAATGTATTTTTATTGATATGAGTTTAAATTTATAATTATCTTAATCATAAATGCTCATGTTTAATATTTATGAGATTCTTATGTGCACCTTGTGATGATTAAATTATAATATAAGACTGATTATAAAAACATTATTGTTAAAGTAGTGACGTAATATGTTACATGATCAATTTGATATAAAATCCTAATAATTACTTGAGCCCAGACTTATGAGTCCCCATGTATTTTGGGGTGATAAGTTTTAATCAACATAGCCAACATGTAATAAGAGCTCTTGCAATTATCTTATATGGAACCTCATAATGATTCATTGATCTCATAATAATGGGTTCCTATGTGCTTTGGGTTGATGATCCCTACATGTTTTTGGTTTATAACCCTATAACCGACAAGTGATAATGAAATTAAATAATTAACAAAATGACGTGAATAAAACAAAGTGAAAATGTGAATGGGTTGATGTTATTCTTTGCATTTAATGTCATACACTATGTGCTACCACAAGTCTATACATTGAGTTATATCATGCTTTACTCATTAATTATTATACTTACGTATCATCTCACTTACAATTTAGTCATTTTGTATATATTAAACTTTGATTACATACTAAATGTTGGCCTCTACTTAGCCAAAACTATTATAGGTTGATTACCAAAGTTGTAGAAAGTAACTTGAACTTTATAGATTCTACGAGTTAGATTTTGTTTGTTATTATATCTAAAGTTACCTAGTGGATCCTTTGAATTCACTATGTATCTAACAAATACCATATGTTATCTAGTGGATAGCTTGAACCTATTAAGTTCTAAGACAAATGATAATAACTTTGTTAATGCCTTGAACACATTAAAGATCTTAGATGGGACCTCACAACATTGAGGAAGACAAGATAACAAAAAAGTATTCCAACAACTTAAAATATGACGAAAGGGGAAAATTTCATAGAAAAATAGCTTATTAGGTTTGAATATGAATCACAAGGTATGCCTAAAGCATACATCATTTTAGATTCATAGTCATGTTTAATTAAATCATTATAATGTATGTTTTGAAAGAATTCATTCATATTCAAATCAAAACTATATATATTATTTTGCATTTTCCATTAATCGTGTTAATTGATATTTTTTATTTATATTAATTTAGGTTTAGTTGATCAAGTATATTTTGACAATAGGGGTCAAATTATTGTTGATTTGGGCTTGATCACTCAAGTCAACATGGCAAAGTCAATTCATTTGTCAAATTAACTCAATTATAAGATGTCATCTATAAATAAGTCGTCAATTGAAAGTCACTCGGGGAATCAACCAAGAACTCGTAAGAGATGACGAAATAAAGCAAGTTACAAATCAATAGGCAAGCAATAAGTTTCACCCTTTACCACAAAATCAAATGTATTTTATTAATAATATTGGACATATAGTATATGACAAACAAAAGTCATACATTACAGACAACACTCGACTAAGTTGAATCCAGCCATTAGTATTAGTCCAATAATATATGTTCAATCAATTTGTCGTCTTCAGTTGTTTGGCCCATTCACTCACCAACGATGAACCCACCCTCAGATAAGTGTTGTATCTACGAGAGGCTACAAACAACACAATAGAGACATCCACTACTAATGAAATAGTGATTTGTGCTTCAAATTGTAGCACAAATCTCAATGTGCTAAAAAATGAGAAATTGTTGCTCTAAGTACCAACTCTTATTTTATAATAGTTTGTAAACCCACTCAGCCCACTCTTTTGTTGTATGTTCTTTGAATTTTTTTCTATTTTTTCATATTTTTGTGATTCACCCTTCCAAACAAGAGAACACCCCAAACTTTTATGTTAAAAATTTACCAATAAATCATCAAATTAATTTTATTTATATATCGAACTCGTAGGAAATAATAAATTATTCATTAAGAATGTAATGAAAATAAAATCGTGAATGTAATAAAGAGAAAAAATAAGAGCTATAATTTTATGGTACTATTTGAGAGATTATTTAAAAAAAAACTAATTAAATGTATATTTAATAAATAATAAAATTTAAAAGTTCTTTGAGAGATAAAAGCTTCCTTTTTGATAAATTTCTTATTGCTTTCTTTCTAAACTAATTTTTTAATATTTAAAATTCTAATTTAAAATTTTTTATAATAAATTTTTTTAAATTATCCCAAATAGAACCAATATTTAATAATTTCACAATGCTCATTGAGAGATTTGTAGCAAATAAAAATACTTTAATGTTAATTTTATAAATAGACAAAAATTAAAAAAAAAAAATTTGACAATAACTAAAATTGATGGTTCCTTCTTTTAGCACACATCAAACATAAAGATTTAATTCTTACCAAAATATTTGAATTTTTTTCAAATCTTAGTTTCAATGCCACAAAGATATTGTGGATTAAAGGCCTTAGGATATTACAAACGTGTAGGCTTTTATATGAATTTGTTGATTGAATGGCATAAAGGTATTTACACAAACAATGCAAGATTTTGCCACTAAATAGCATTCATTGCATATGATCATGCTATTATTTCTTCGCAAAACACACAAAAAAAAAAATTCACAAGGCTTAGACCCTTTAGCTCAAATGCTTCCTTTATAAAAGGTGTCATTTATTGTAGTAAAGTTGAGATAGATATGGTGACATTAATACAATATGATTAGATATCATGATGGCCATGATATCCAAATAATAAATACCTTAAAAGATAAATTGAATTGGTTTATTAAAGCTTTGTTTGGGACGACTTTCTTACTGATTTTTAAAAACAACTTATTAGCATAAAATTTTTATTTTTATAGTAAAAAATTGCTTTAAGAAGCAGTTAGAAAGTCATCCCAAACGAAGCCTAAAAGGAGGATATAAGTAACTGTACTACCTTATCATGATAATAATTGCAAAAATCTTCTATTGTGATAAACAAATATGATACACATTTATTGCATAAGGTTTTAGTTCAAGATTAGGTAAGTTTGGCATAAAGAGAGAAAGAAAACTTATGCATTACACATACCATCAACTTACTCGATTATAATAAAATTGTTGACAAATATGATAAATTTTGAAGGCATGTATTCATACATTTCACCATACATGCATGAATATACCCATACAAATATAGATATAAAAATATAATAATTCACAATCTATACACATACTCGCACACATATATACATATATAATTAAGCAACATGCGAGAGATAATGATCAAACAAAATATTATTCACATTTATCTCATTAAGACTCATTTGAGGCCACTTTCTTACTGTTTTTTTCTAGCTAGAAAGCTGCTTTAAGAAACAGTAAGAAAATCATCCCAAACAAAACGCAAGTAAACAAGCATATAAAAACCAGACAAACACAAGTTAAGAATCGAGCAGACGACAAACAATGATCATTTTTGAAGGCCTTAATTGTATTTTCACAATATGGTTGGTAATATGAAAGAGTTGAGTCCAAAGCATTGATAGAGACATAAAGAGCAAAAAAATACTGAATCCGAAGAAGGTAGAGCATGAGAGGGGACAGAGCCCCAAACCCATACAGGTTCAGTTGATAATGCAAGAATGGACCTCTTTAAATTAACATATAAGATATGTAAAACACCCTGCGCTAAGTTACTATAATTGCTGAACCGGTTATCCTGATAACGCAAAGTTGAAGCTAGTATGGTGCACAGTGGACCACAAATAATCATTGAAATCTGCACTCTTACCACAAAGTCCATATGCCTTTCCAGTATTTTCAATGCCTCCATGCAGTCCTATCCTCGATAATCTTGAAAATGAAAAATGTTGAAAAAATAAAAGAGCACTCACGAGGATAAGAACAATTGATTTATCACCAGATCTTGGTCTTAACCCAGAAGAGTAACAGTACCACCCCAATTACAATAGCAACAGGAGCCCACTTGCGTATCAAAGCCTGAAATCAGCATTAGTAAATGAGTCAATCTTAATATTTATTTAAAAATATGAGTCAATCTTAACACGACACGAATGACCCGTGGCCGTGAAAAAAAATGCTAGTTTTCAGGTCAAAATGTGTTAATCTCCACTTTTCGGGTAAAAAACAGGTCAAAACGGGTCAATTTCGGGTCAAAGAGTCAACCCGAACCCAGCCCGATTTTTTGAAACGGGTCAAATTGTTGAACTCGAATCCCACCCATTTCGAGTCCGTGTTAACCCTAACCCGGAATTTTCGGGTCGGATTCGAGTCGGATTTTCAGATCGTGTCAAATATTGACACCCCTGCATAAAACCATCATAAATGAGAAGGATACATCTTCAGGAAGGGCTTTCATCAAGGTTTTCCCAGGCCCAAAATATTACAAAACTTCCAAGTGTGAAGCCTTAGCGCCTTGCAGATAGTGCTCTCAGTGATGATATAGTTTTAAGCGATAATTGTAGTTATAGCAACAATAATAATTATGATAAACCTATCTCAAATAAAATTGCAATTAACTGGTTCGTGAAAAAATTGCACTGCGTCAAAAGAATGCTGAAGTATAAACACAGTGAAATGAGTATTCCTTGGGAAAAACCGTCAAAAAATGTTGGCTTGCCGGTTACTGCCATCCTTCTGTCCAGTAACTGGTTCTGTTTTGAAAAAGTAGCTTCACAGGTGATGAGTGGAAAGTAGAATTTCATTAAGGCCTCATTTGATTCTCCCCACGTTTTTTTCGTTCTTAAGTGGAGGTATTTCAATGGAGAAGCAGAATTTTTTTTCTTCTCAGATCGGGAAAAATACGGAGGTGTAGCAAAAGGTGTTTTGAAAAAGTCGCATAAACAAACAATAAAATAATAATTTTTTCACCGATTGAAATCGGAAACGGAAAACTTACAACCAATCAAACGAGGCCTAAAGCACATAAGTTCTAGTATATATGAATTTCATCTGTTCTAGTATGTATTTCAAAGTTCCCAACCTAATATACTTCCTGCAGCCCAACAAATACAAACACTCTGGTGTATCCTAACAACAAAGCCGAGAAGGGCTTTGGTTTACAAAGCTGTATCCTAATCAATAACGAGGCATTATATCATATGGTTTCTTAAGCCAAAAATAGCACTTTAAAGTTGCTAGGACAATAAAATTTATAATGAGTGAATAGGTTGACTTAATAATAACGATAAGTGGAGATAAAATTTAATAAATTATAGCATAAAAAAGAATATCTAAGGCCCATAAGAGTTGATGTTGCAACGCCTTTAAAATATGGAAGTACATCGAGGCCAGTTGTAATATATTTTTTGCTTGTATCCTTAAAAATTTGTACAACAATGCATAGTGTAATATCATAATTTCATTCTTTTAGTTATTAAAAAAATTATAAAATTGTTATTAGCCCGCTAACTAGGGTCTTGGATCTTGGATCTGCCACTGTTCAAGTGTTTAACAACCCTTAAAAATACACAAGTAACATAACTCGTGAAATGAACTTCCTCTAGAACATTCAAGAACAAGAGGCTTCATTTGAAAACTATGAAAAGGGAACAGTAAATTAGAAAAAGAGCAAATACCTGACGATTTAGATCTTTTGCCTTGTCCGCATATATGCGAGATTCCGATGTTAACCTGCTTGACATTTCACTGACCTCTGCAACCAAATCAGCATCACTTTCTTACATTAGAATTGCAGAAATACATAAGAATTATGGCACTTAAAAAACACCATAGAAAATGAAAGGCTTCTGCATTAGTTTCAACTTGGAGACACGATTTGGTTTTCAGAATTCCATATTAAGGTTTCGTTTGGGAAGGCTTTCTTTCTGCTTCTTAAAATAATTTGTTAGTATAAAAAATAAAATTTTTCTACTAGAAAGCTGTTTCAAGAAGCAGTAAGAAAACCGTCCCAAATAAAGTCTAAGCCTCCCTAGGAAAAAAGAGAAGTACGAGTTCTTTAGTTATTCAATGGACAGAATAACATAATTCGAAATCCGTACAAAAGCCAGGGAAGGCTCTATAGTAAATCATCCCAAAACTAGATATAGATAGATCAATTCATCAGGAAAAAATAGATGATTCTCAACAAACAGAAATTAAACTCAGAATGAGGAAAGAATCCAAAAGGCAGAGTACAATTATATAGGTTAAAGAAAATAGATATAACTAAGCTTAAATAAGAGTTCAATCCTTCTAAATACTGCAATTTTACTCGAAGATTCCATGATCCTTCAGTGACAGAGCTTGTTACAATGTGCAAAGATAAGAAACATTAGAGGGATAAATAATTACACTGCATAGGCCCATTGTTTAAGATCCTTTCATGCATAAGAAACTGATATCGCCAACATAATAGTCAGTTTAAACTTAGAAAGATTTTGAGTACACATATACCTAAATAAAGAAGAAAAAAAACATTGCCTAGTAACAAATTTGATGTAATGAAATTGGCAAGCCCTCAACCGACAATGTGAGAAACAAAATCTGATTCCATTTGAATGAATTGCCTATTAATGAACTCAAAACCATAAGAAAAAAAAGAAATGCTTAAAGCAAAAATACTAAACAGATTAACAGATACTTACGGTCTAACTTTTGACCAACACCAAGAACCTCCTGAACGTTGCGAGTCATTATCTGATGGACTTCGTAGAGCTCATCATTCAACTTTGCAAGGTTTCTTTGAGTATGGGTGTCCTGGTATAGTTTCTTAGTCTTTTGTATGAAGGTATCTTCATAGCAATCAAACAAAATGAAATTAGAACTAAACAGTTCAAATCAAGGAAAGAAAATTTGCCAGTTAACAAACATACCAAATTTAATAAAAGCATATGGCCTCGCAGCAGTTTCAATCTGATCCCCATTGACTCTTTCAAACTCATTTTTAAGATCCTCCAAATATTGGAAAATAAGTTTCCTTGGATATGAGCGATCACACATTGTAAGATAGCAAACACGGCCCTCAATTATATAGCTGTTAAAATTAGTTAAGTAAACAATGAAATGCAAGGGTGCAGCTGTAGAAACCTGTCCATCACACTGTTATAAAGAAGCACTTACTGCCAGTAATGAAAGAGTTTAAACAACAGAATTCCACCACCACTGTTAGAGTCGCACAATTTCAAAAACATGTATAAAAAATGTTCCCAAAAATGAATGATGGACTAATGACTGAAGATACTGTAAGACCCAATATAAGGTGATGTTCTAAATGTATAAATCTCTATAAAATTTAATATTAATTTATTAACTATCTGTTAATGAGATTAATATTAATTATGTAAGTTTAATATTTTCAAAAACATGTATAAAAAATGTTCCCAAAAATGAATGATGGACTAATGACTGAAGATACTGTAAGACCCAATATAAGGTGATGTTCTAAATGTATAAATCTCTATAAAATTTAATATTAATTTATTAACTATCTGTTAATGAGATTAATATTAATTATGTAAGTTTAATATTAAATATTGTTATATTGATATCAACAAATATAGTGATTTGATTTAGTATTAAAACCAAATAAAATAATTAGTAAAATTCTGAATAGATGCTTGGTTTGGTAATAGCAGTTATAGCTTGGGCCCACACTCCAAACCTTATCTAGTTATCTGCATGGATTAGTGCTGTCACGGAAGAGAGAACACGGGATGGATAATTGAAGTGCAGGAGGATTATTCTTTAATTGGGTTGAATGTTTCTCTCGGGACTGTAGAAGAAAACGCAGAAATTGATAGGAAATTCGCATATTCACTTGTAGCAATAGGCGGAGAAGTCTTGTGCAAGGGGCGGGGAATTTCTACAGAAAGAGGAGGACGAAGTGCTGGGTTTTAACAGAGAAATTCTGTAGCAAGAGGCGGACATCAGTGGGGTTTCGGCACAGTGCTGAAGTTCCCTGTTCTCCTTTCGACACAATTCCTGCTTGCGGGATCGTGAGTATTCTTGGAAATTCCTTGTTGCTGGCTTCAGCATAGTGACTGCCTGTGGAAGAATTCAGCATAGTT